TTCATTCAGGCTCTGCAAAACCAGTGTAATAACTACAAGCTTCTTATATTTGCAAATGCCTTAGCAGTCAGTTTCTGCATTTGAACTTTTCATCACAACATTAAGGCAGAACTGATAGTGATTTCCAGATTGACCTAGCTGCATAGTAAACAGAACAATGACAGTACATATTAGTATGGCTGTATCTCGATACAGCAAGACTCCCCTACCTGGGATTTTCCAGGAGTCACCAGAAACTGTTCTGCACAGTCTCTGCCAGGATAAAACGTTAGAAGTTTTATTAATTTTAAGTCTGGTCTTGAAAGTCAGAGTAGATTAAAGTGCTAAAGGAGAAAACTCAGTCCTCTTTTTTTTTTCCAGGTTATAAATCTGCGTACCATTCGACCAATGGATATTGAAACAGTGGAAGCCAGCGTTGTAAAGACAAACCATCTTGTAACTGTAGAAGGAGGTTGGCCACAATTTGGAGTAGGAGCCGAAATCTGTGCCAGGATCATGGAAGGTACCAAGTTCTGCAGTATACTTGTCAATCTCATTCCCTAGTCTAAAACCTGACAACTTCTTGATACAGCCAGATGAAGGCAAAGTTAGGGTTTTATATCTGAGGAGCTTGAGCCTAGCTGTCTTGCTCTAGAGATTTTCACAGGGTGGATCCAGCTTGTATTCTCTTGCAAGTAATTCTTAGCCCAGGAACTTGACTGTGTAAGAACCAGGATGGAAAATTTTTGTCTAAACCACAGTACATGAAGATAAATGAGCGAGAACAGCTGTCTGGAAAATTAGAGCTACAGGAACAAACTTGTTTAAACAGATTAAGATTCAGAAATTTAATTGAGATAAAAACATAGTGCATGGCAACCTAACAACTGTCTTCTGTTTTAGGATCTGCCTTTAACTACCTGGACGCTCCCGCTGTGCGTGTTACTGGTGCAGATGTCCCTATGCCTTACGCAAAAATTCTAGAAGATAACTGCATACCTCAAGTGAAGGACATAATATTTGCAGTGAAGAAAACTTTGAATATCTAAGTTGTAAATACATGTTTTAAAGTCCTGCTTTAAAAAGTGTCAATGGTGTAGGTCAAGTTGTTTGCATAACTTTGTTGTATAGCTACATAAACTTTTGTACAGTGGGGAAAGTATAGTGACCTCCCAGAATATTTATATGGGGTTACCCTCTAAGCCACACTTCATATAAGCAACAATGTGGTAATAATGTTTGTTTGTTCAACAGTTCAGGTTTGTTAGTGCTATTGTATGTGGAGAAATCCAATTTTAAATTCAAAGTGAGGAAAAAAAATCCTCCACTTCTGCTTTGCTTGTAATTACCAGACCAGCTGTGTCAAACTGGCTGTAGTGGTGGTCCAGTGAAGAACTGCAGTGAGCAGAAGTCCAGCCCTGGAATGCTGTACAGCTCTCTAGGAGCCCACAGTTGCAAGGCTTATTAAAGGTGAATGATCAAACTGGAGTGCAAAGCCTTGCTTTTCAGGTCAACACTTAAGTGCAATTACCTGCATGAAGTGGCTTTGGAAGCCTGTGGGATGGGCTAAGAGATGGCTCACCTGTTTAGTTTGAAGAGCACTCCGCTCATGCAGGAAAGCATCTGCACAAGAGCTTAAATAAAGATCCTGATCCCTTCAGTATGGGTTGGGATTCAGTATGTGTTGGGAAACACTACCTAATTTTTCTTCACTAGCTGCCACATACAGTGATAAACACTTGCCCAGCTGCTTTGTTGTATGTTTTTGCTTGTTGGGGTTGTTTTGTTTTTTTCAACTTGGGCTAACAAGGGCATGCTCAAACTATAGTTCTTACAGTGCAAAATTAGTTACTTTATTCAGACACACTGAACCTGGGTCTGCAGCAGCAACATAGGTTGTGTCTGAAGAACTGGGAAGGAGTCTCAGCAGCCTTTATGCAGATCACCACCTAGCAGGGTTTAGCTAAGGGGCTTGTCCTGGCAGGCAGGGAGAGCCCCACGTGGATTCGTTCAGCAGCTTCTGGTAGGGAGGGAAAGCTGCCTCGAGGAGTCTGTGCAGTGTCAGTTGCTCTGTACCCCAGGCAGGCTGCTGGAGAGGAGATACTCACCTCTGTAAGTAGACAGAAGAGGTCAGGTCCTATTTCAGTTAAGGGCCAGGAATACTTTTCAGGGTATTTCCTCTTGGCAGAAGTGCTGTTAGGTTCTTAGGAAGTCTGGCTTGCAGGTGAAATCCTAGCTGAATATACCCACCACCACACTGCTGAAGGAATTCTATTAACATTTTAATAAAAATGACTGAATATCACAGGTTACATGAAACTCTGTACAGACATTCTCTGCATAGTAACAAACACTGATGTACTTGAATTTAAAAAATGGATTATCTGTAATCCTTTAAAGTGCAATTTGTTTAAGGTTTTAAATCAAAAAGGATCTTGCAATAAAGTTTAAGCTGTAGAATTAACTTGAAGTAACTTTGCATTTAACTAAATAATTAATTATATCCCAGTGCCCTATTAACTCCTCATTTAAAAACACCTTCCCTTAGAATTACAGGTAGGATGGCCATTTAAACAAGTTTAATGAAACAGCATTTTTATTCCACCAACAAATGTGGTGGGAATAAGATTTAATTCTCCAGTTCCCTCACCTGTGCAGTATGCTTTAAGGGTTGGGGAGAGGGTGTTGGATTATCTAAAACAAAACTTGCTGATTCAGTGCAGCAAGAATTAAGATAAGGTACAACTGCATGAAGTATTGAAAAACCAAGCAGAATAAAACTACATTCCTGTAATATGAAAAAGGGGGGTGGAACAGAGCTAGAAAAAAATGCATTAATTCACCATGATCATGGTCATTCCTATTTTCAGCTTTTTTTATTCAGCTATATAGAAGTTGCTGTACCCCTGAAACTGTAGCTAGAGAACAAAGTTCTTGAAACCAAGTAAAGAATAGAGTACTTATCACAGCATGGCAATGCAATGCAGACAGGGAAGTGCTGCTACTCAAGAAGAGCTGGAGCGGGTAAATGGAGCTACAGCGTGATTAGCTACTATATGCCGGTGGATCCAGTTGCCGGTCAGGAGGGTCTTGTTCCCAGACAGCACAGGAGGGGGAGAGGGAATTAATCCTGGTGTGACCAGTGGCCTCAGCTGATCCTGGGAGCACTGTAGTCGCAGGTCTGTGTTTTCTTCAGTGTTCCTTTCTGAAAGTTTTGAATGGAGCTGAGTAAGGCTCCTCGGCTTGCACTGACATGGGGCTGTGGGCTTGGCTGCGTTGGCACCTCTGTACTCGGAGGAGGAGGAGCTGCTGGTGGCAGGGGCGGCGGTGGCGGTGCTGGGGGTATCGACGATGCTCCTGTTGAGGAGAGAAGATGATGTTTGATTATGTCAGGAAGGTCCTGCTGCAGAGGACTGTGGCTCTTAGCTGCACTTGGTCAGTCCTGCACTAGTCACATCATTCCTTGAATGCCAGTGGAGCATGAAGAACGGAACAGATGAAAAATGCCAAAGTGATAAAATCCCTCTACCTGCAGGTGAGTCGTGTCATCTGAGACACCTCTGAAATGAAGCCTGAAGTGCTTCAGTAGTTGGGGATGCAAAATGTGACTCAAATCTGATGTTGCACTGAAGGAAATGGAGATCACTTACAGGGCTTCCCAGCTTCAGTTTCTCGTTTGTCCCCAGTGAAGCAGTTTGCTCCTTGGGTCATGAGCAGTAACAAAGACTGGAAGCAAATCTTACTACCTCTTCTTCCTTACATGACTAACTGTACATTCTTAGGAAGGACCACACTGCTGTAGTACTTGTGATGACTGCTTGGTCAGATTATATTCCATTTTTAAAGTACTAACTGCAGAGAGAGTTTTCTGGAAATGTTTTACACTTCCACAGTACTGTCAGAGTTTCTCTGAACATGTTTCACAGGCTGAAAGAATCGCAGCCATCTGGCACTCAACACTTGCCTCTCATGCTGCCACCAGTCACCTTTGCACTCTGTCCCTTGCTTTCTACCCCAGTCACATCCATCTCATGCTTCTCATCATGTCTCAGCCTCCGTGTCCTGACTCCCTGGAAGGCCAGAGCCCACAGCAGTGAGGGTCTGTGTGGAGGTGCTTCCTGGCAGCTCAGATCCAGGCAGGTGGCCTTATTTCCTTCAAGCAGCTCTCCCAAACACCCTCATCTTGTGCAACTCAGCTGCTGCATATTAACCCATCTTTTCTACACAAGTACAATCGAAGAAAGATCCATGTTGGAGTAAGAGCAAAGGGCTTCAGAGGTGACCACAAGACATGTGTGGGAAGGTGGCATTTGTAGCACAACACTAGCTATACAGGGTATGATGGGCCTGTCTTGTCTCATATATTCTGGAATGAGCAAGGGGCATAATGATTAATATCTTGGAACTATTCAACAGTGAATATTAACTTACGATCATCTAGATCGTAAGTTATTCCATGGTAAGTCTAAAGAGAGAGATGGCACCTAACACTTGCTTTTGGTAGCTCTAACCTACAAAGAGTAATATACTGGTGAGTGGCAAGAACTATGATACAACACACAACATGAGGCCAAACAAGAGATTATGGTTAACTGAAGTAGAACTGCTTGCTATGAAGTAAGCAAATACCAAGCAGTTGAAGCACATTATGCCACACAGACTCGAGGTATTTGATGAAGGATAAAGCTCAGCTACAGAAAACAAAAAGCAGGCAAAGTTCTCTCTCTGTGCTCCCTTTCTCTCACTTCCTCACTAACACTTGCTCTCAGACTAACAAGTAACCATAAAAAAGGAATTGCTGTAATTTAAAAGATGAAGGTCATAACTTAAAGCTTCCTCATTTTCTGTTTGTACCAGTCTTTGAAGAGAGACTTCAAGCTCAAAATGCAGAGTATTCACACAAAGTGAACATTAGTTTACATTAACACATGCTGTAATTGTAGCCCTTCCAACTCTTCAGGAGAAATTCTCATTGGCATGAAAACCACATTCTGTGACAACAAAACATGGAAGTACACGTTGGGCTCATCTTTACTCTCCTCCCTTCCAAAGGAAATACTCAAGCCCTAGTAGAAATACCAGAGATTAACTGAAACAATTTAACATGCCTGTTGCATGTGGATCAAGTGCTCTTGTAAGTAATCAAAACATTACACAATGTTAGCACCAACTGAAATAAGTTGTATATTGATGCCCTGCGGCCATCTAACTTACCCACATCTACTTTTTACACTAGCCAAAGATGTAAGTCAATTTATTATTAGAAATACTGGAAACCATCCCCTAGGATGAGTCCTTCTGTTTCTCGTGCGTAGAGACTGCCAGCAAAGCAAATCTTGACACTTTGCCAAAGGAAGAACAAGATCAAGAACAGTTAAAGTAACCACTTTTGTGGTTAAAGTGGTCAGAGCAGAACACAGTAGGACTGGTGTACCAATGCTATCACCAAACTGATCAGACGAACTGCAGTAAAAGAGCCAAGACCAGCTAATCATAAATTAAACTGCTTGAAAGAGATGCAGCAACTGCAGAGAACAAAGACAAGATTTTTGGCTGGAACTGCAAGGTGAGGTTGGAGAGGCTATGCAAGTAGTTGTACAAAATGCAATAGAGAATGACTATGAAAAACAGCGGCCAGGACTCTGTCTGGAATATAAATACAATGGTAACATACGCAGTGAGAGAAGGCACACATTTGGCAGAGAGGGGCAAAAAAAGCCACAAAGTGCTTGGATCACTAAGTATTATCAGGTTATGATTCCATGTGTCATCTTCAAATTTTGGTCTTGTTATTTTACAATGGGGGTAGAAAAGACAGGGAAGTAGACGGAGAGGCCGTCTTCCTTCCAGGAAATTTGTTAAATCCCTGAGGACTAACTATTGCTGAAATTGAGCTGCCGACAACATCATACAGTTAAACTCTTGGGAGACTGATTACAGACAATGATACTCTTAAACTTGAGTTCTGCCTTAAAACATAAATACACACAGTTTTTAGGATGGTATCTGACTAGCTATGAGCATTCTATATTGAACCCATTAATTAAGAGCACGGTTCTGAAAATCTTCAAATCAATTTATTTCAATTAGACAATCAAAACCAAACTGTCCTTCCCTTCTTGACATGAGTAGTACAAAGGAAATCTCAGTTCATCCTGGTGTACTCATATGCAATTACCTCCACAGATTAAATTGTTCTGTCCAACATTAAAATACTTTCCTGTATTTACTAGAAAAAACATTTGAGACAAGTGCTCAGTTATATCTAGACCTTTCCAATACGTATATTGGAAGAAGTTGCCTGCAAACACACATTTTACTCACTCATGCAGTTGTAAGAATAAAACACTCAAGCAAGAACTTACCAAAGGTTTTTTACAGGGACATTTTTGTTAAGAGAGTGTGTTAAAAGGAATAGGAAGTAAATCAGATGCTGTAAACTTGATGCCTGAATTGAAACAAAAACTTAATTATGAATTTAAAGTGACAGTAATTGTGCAAACAGCATTAAAAACTTGGCTGAGAAGGGGTTGCAAACAAAGAAAATCATTTTAGTGATAGTTTTTAAAGATGCTGTATTTCATTAAAATAATCCATAAGAATGTTCAGATCTTTTTCTTGTATTCCCTCCCGATACTAAGCAAGTTCAAGATTTCCATTCAACTTTCCCATACAGAAACAGAGCATCTTTAAAGAGATAAATCAGCATTAGCTTACTTTTCCGAAAATTCACGTTCAAAATGATGCATGCTCTATTGAAGACAGCAGGG